TTGTGTCATGACCTATATTCAAATTTTTTTGTTGAATTTGAATTTAGTGTAGGTCACATTTCATTGGTCAGTCAAAGCAAAGCCCACAAGTCTATTTATCAAAGTATTCTGCTTTTTGAAATTAAATTAACCTTTCACTCGCCAGTAATTTAACATCACCTGAAGAGACACATTTATGGTGTTGAAACATAATTGTAATTGTGTAGCGATTTTTAACATGTTTTAATATCCTAAAATAAATAATATATATATATGTATGTGGGTGTGTACATAGACACACACAAACATGCGTACATGTGAATATATAACTTCTAATAGATTCAATGCCTATATCTTAACAGTAAATTATACACAACTAAGACAATATCATATACATATATATATATATATGTGTACACACACACACACACCTATGATTCATGTAAATGTGTGTTTGTATGTGTGTGTGTGTATATATATATATATATATATATATTTATGTTTGTATGTGTATATGCACAAGCCTGTGAATATATAACTTCTAATAGATTTAATGCCTGTATGTTAACAGTAAATTATACACAATTAAGACAATATCATATATATATATATATGTACACAAACACACACACCTATGATTCATGTAAATGAGTGTGTGTGTGTGTGTATATATATATATATATATATATATAATATGGTTGATACATTTAACAATTACATTTTGGACTAATTCAAATCCCTGCTCTCCAAAACAAATTACTAGAATATAGCCTACAAAATCTTTTCTGCCAAATTTTTTCTTCATATGCTTGAACAAAAACAAAACACAATATGAACTTCAAACAGTTTTGATCCTGATCTACAGCATCTTATCCAAAAATTACAAAAATACAATAAAAAAGTAGAACAAACAGACCATGTCATTTTGATTTTTGTGTGTGTATATATATATATATATATATATTTATTTAATGCTGACATTTTTACTACATCAGAGTTATTATAGTAGATACTTGTATTAAAAATAGATGCCCAATTTTTATTTTAAACACTCCCTGTTTAAAATAAAAATAAAAAAGTGGCATCTATTTCAAATACAGTATCCATTATAATAATGTGTGAAAATATATATATATATAGTCTAGGTGAGTGCCTTTATGAGTATGTTTGTTTATTTATATATATATATATATATAGAGAGAGAGAGAGAGATTAGAAATGAGTTTGAAGTTCAAAAACATAGAAGATTCTTACATAATTAAGAACAAATTTAGCTTTTTCAGAAGTCAGAGGATCATGTCTTTTGTGTATCCTTACCCAATATTCTTCATTTTTATATATATATATATATATATATATATCCACATCCATATATACATATATGCTAATAGTGGACAGTCATGTAATATTAGTTTAGTCTTTCAATATTCAAGCTAATTAAAGTGTTTTTCAGCCTGCTTCACTGAAGTAGGCAGTTCCTGTATTCACTCCAAGAAAGTCTGTAACTACCAATTATGATAACCTTGTCCGACTTTCTAGTGTGTCTTTCATTGTACACACACACACACACATATATATATATATATATATATATATATATATATATATATATATATATATATATATATGTGTGTGTGTGTGTGTGTATCAAATATATTGAAAAATAGGAAAGAACCGTTAGGTTAATAATCCAAAGTTCTTTAGTATTTTTGTTTTTATTTTTAAAAAACAGTGCTCGATACACAGTAGAGTCTATATTATAATTATTTTTTTAAAAATATGATTCCATCGCTACATAGGAATTACCATATTTAAAAAACAGAAGCTAAAATTTTCCAATTCAATCATAGAAATTAAGTTAAAGTACCTAGTTCTGTTTCATCCTCAAGCGAATTTTGGAATATGTAATTTTGAAATTTACGGAGCTTTATAAGCATATACATTTGTAACATTAGTTTCTATGGATATGGAAAAAACCAATCATTTTATTGAGGGGCATTAGAGTATTCATTTTCACTGACAACTATTGTATCAACATATTAGTTACTTTCGAAAAGAGGTTAGGATTAGGGTGCCTTTTTTCAAACAAATGATGACATCCATTCAAACACATGTCATCTGGTCTTTTTCAACGACAGAAAGTTTTTGGCACTTAGGTTGCATTTTTGTAATTCACACACACACACACACACACATATATATATAATTTTTTTTTATATTTCTAAAAATGTTTTTCATTTTAGTCTTGACATGCTACCAGTAGATAAAATGAAATTAACTTATAAGGAACAAAAGAATACAAAAACCACAATATCTTACAAATAAGTTTTTAATTTTCAATCATCTATGCAAGCAATATTTCAAATGGCTAATTTACATGCTTTAAAAAATGGATTTGGCTCCAAATGAAATCATTATCTTTAAGTGTTGATGTTCCAATAAATAGAATATTTTATTTATATATAGCTAAATTTTTTAACTAACTGATGTGTTAAATAGCAAGGTAGACTATTTCTACATATGAATAAACTTTGAAAAATTAACAAATTTATTCACATTTATTCATTTCTGTTAAACAACTATTAGATGATTTATAATACAAGAACATGCTGAAAAGTTCTCAGTCTGCCCCACTTCCAAAATCTCCTCAAATGACCAAACATCAAACAGTTTGTTTTTTTTCTTTTCTTGGATGCATAGCCAAGTAGTTAGAACATTTGCTTTTTTAACCATGAGTTTCTGGTTTGAATCTTACCAGGGTCAATTTGTCAGGGAGGTACCTTCTTTGTTATCAGTCTGGGGAAGTAAGCCAATCTTACAGCAACATTGGAAAGTGCTTGAGAAACGTACCATGGGTTGACCCAAGCCTTGTGAGTGAAATTAAGTCAACAAAACTATTCAGAATCTGTTGATGATTGCTCAAGCACAAAATTATGAGTCATCATAACTGAGGTTTTGAGCTTACTGGCATTGGTCAAACCATTGCCAGATTATGCGTTCTCTTCCAGAAACTGTAACTAAGTTCTGCTAAATATAGTTGCAGGTCAAATGTGCCTGAGATGGTGTCTGCGACAAGGATTAGCTAGCCACTCTAGCAAATGGATGTGTTTGGAAAAGGTATTCACATATATATATATATATATATATATATATATATATAAATTTAATTACAATTAAAAAACAGACAACCTTAAGGGTCCATTGATTTGATTTTATTTTCTCAGGAAGGTGGTTTTTTCCTGGTTCCTCAGATAACACTCCAAGCATTAAAAATGGTTTTAAGTTGATGTAAGGTTATAGAGGGGGGGGCGACGACAGATATGGTCGAAATTATGGAAGGAAGGGAGAGATAAGAATAATTTTAAATCTATTTTATTAAAATACTTAAGAATAAGTGTGTGTGTGTATATATATATATATATATATATATATATATATATATATATATATATATATATATATATATATATATATATACATTTTGTTCCTCACTAGTAGTACAAATCTAAGTTTCATGCATGATGCAAAAGTTGAGTACAACTCAAAAAACTGATCATTGTAAAATTTTAATATTGATATTTATACCATACAGTTATGTAATTGGAGCAGTCCACTTATTTACAGTATATAAAAGTCATTTTCACAATTATGTAATTGTAAAAATATCTCTCCAGGCTGCTTTTGAATTCAGAGTTACCTTCTCCTAGACTGGTTGCCACCCAAGGCTATAGAACCCAATCTGTCCTGCTAGTTACCATAGCTTGTAAATAAATACATACTGTTTAATAAATAAATAAATAAAAACAGAGTATCCACTGAAAATAATGTTTAAACAGATAAATTAAAAATATATACACCCAAGTATAGGATTGGTGTAGACGTAATAAAATTCCAATAACCAAAAACACTATTCTTAAAAGAGTGCTCAACACAGAGTAGAGCAAATATTATTTATTCAAAAATTATAACGTAAACATGTTATAATTTTTAATAAAAAATATTATATATATATATATATATATATATATATATATATATACACACACATACACAAATTCATATATATATATATATACATGCTCATTTTTCAAATACACACACACACACAATATGATATATATATATATATATATATATATATATATATATATATATATATATATATAATACTAATAGTGGGCTCCTTTTTGTTATTTACTTATCTACACATGTACATATTCTCATACAGTCAGTTCTAAATAATTCAAAATTAACTACCACAATGCAAGTAACTCAAACTACTTACATGCAATTTAATTTTCAAAGAAACAACCAATCCTTGTCATTAAATGACCTCATTTAATGCCATTACCAATCCCTTCTAATCCAGTCTTTTGCGTGTGTGTGTCTGATCCTTTGTGAATGATGAGGCATTATAATGAATTTGTTTGAGTTCCAAAGAATAAATCTCAAAGTTTGAATTAGAATCAGAACTCCTAAACAGATGCAGTTGAAAAGTTCTTCATTACACTGGTTACAGTAACGACTTGGTAGACCTGAGGTTTTGAGACTTCAGTTCTTCAAAATGGATAGGTAAGGTTTGTTGTCACAAAACAAAATGGATTCTAAATCAATCCCATGAATGTTTTAATCTTGATTTTACTCAAAAATCAAAGCCTAACATCTCATCTTTTTTTCATGATCTTCTGACTAAATAACAAATAGCCAATAAATAACTAAATAACTTTTACTACCAATGGAAGTCAAACAGTATTTTCTTGACTTCAAGCAGCTGTCACTTTTTAATGAAGCATTTTAGAATCATTCTGATGCATAGAAATATAACAAATTGTTATCATTTTGCATTGATATTTTTTAAGATTAACTAAGTCTGGCACAAGACCATGGTAGTGATACATCTAGGGAGAATCAAAATCACTACACTGAGTGAAACTTGTTGACCATTTGGCTATGGTAAGTGATTTTGATATCATTTCTGTAATCTCGTCATTATTGTTATTTTTTTTTTTTTATTTCTTCAGAAATGTTTACAGTTCCAACTTGGCGAATCTATCTGGCATGCAAAACAACAGATTCTGGCCAGCTTCGGGGCAGTAAGTTTGACTTTTTCTTGTCTCCTTTTCATAAAATGTCTTTGATACAAACACTTATCCAAAATAGTGAAAACAGAAAAACACCAAAAATCAAACATTTTTTCCCCTCTGTCATCCATACACTAAAGCTTGTATTTACCACTGAATCAACCTGTTACATTCAACTGGCCTGGTCTTTCTTATCAAATCATGAAATTAAGGTTATCCTAAAAGGCCACTCTTCTAGATCTTTTTACATTAGTGCAGTTGTCCCCCAGGGCTTTATCCTTGGTCCTACTTTTTTTTAAATTTTCAATAACAATCTTCCTGATGGTATTAGTTCTCAACTTTGTACCAATGCTGATGACACAATCGATGCAAAGTGTGATCAGTTCAATAAGGTTAAATTTGTAGCTGATGTCAGAAACGACCTTCAGCCAGTTATTAATTGGAGCAAAGGATGGCTTCTTAATTTTAATCCCTCCAAAACTAAATTGCTTTCTATTAATCAGCTGAGACCCTTTTCTGCTTTTCATCAGCAAGGCTGATGCTAACCTCCAGGAGAGTGACTCAATGTGTCTTCTTGTGTTGACATGAAGTGGAAAAACTATATTGAATCCATTGCTAGGTCAGCTGCTAAAAAGGTTGGTTCACTGTTCCATGCCAGACAATATTTCTCTATTGAATCTATCTTACCTATCTACAAGTCTACCATTCATCTACGCTTAGAATATTGCTGCCATGTATGGTCTGGTGCTCCCTGTATATATCTAGAGATCTTTGATAAAATCCAAAGCAGAATCAGTAAAATTACTAGTCCTGTTCTGGCATCTTGGCTTCAGTCACTTTCCCACCACAGTAATCTAGGTTTCCTGTACCTTTTCTATAAATACTTTCATGGCAATTGTTTGGATGAGCTCTTCACCATAGCACCTTGACTTTTTTACTTTAAGTGCTGTACTAAACTGGAGATGAGGTCTCACCATTTTACCGTTGAGTTGGTTAGATGTAACTGTATATTCTATGCTAACAGTTCCTTTTCTCGCACTTCTCGTTCGTGGAAGATTCATCTGGCTCCATCCTTTCCAGCCAAAAATCTTCAAAAATTTAAATGCAATGTCAATGACTTTCTACTGTCCTCCCGATTACTCTTCTTTGGTTCTTGCTCCTTCTGTTTTCTAATTCTTCCACACCCTGTGCCTTAGTGGCTTTACTGTCTTGCTTGGGATGAAATTGATTAAAAATAAAATATCTCTCTCTCTCTCTCTCTCTCTATATATATATATATATATATATATATATATATATATATATATATATATATATATATTGGCTGCTCCTTGTGATCAAGTAGATTCATTACAATGCCCTAATGAAGACCCTTTTTTAATGGTGTTGCAATCAAATATTGCATTTTGCCCAGCCAGTGACTCAAAATTTTATCACAGGTCCCTCATGCATAATTTGCATTTGCATCCTCATCCTCAGCATGCAGCAATTGATCTAAAACAATTCCAGGGCATTGCAATTTGTATGAATAACATCGTTAATCAGCATTGAGTTGGTTGCCTCTTTAGGTTATGGCCAGCCTGTGAACCACCAAGTAAGATATTGGACAGTATATTTGCATGAAATTTTTTATAGTGGTGAAATGTGTCATAGACCTCCTAAAAAGGTTCATCCACCCTTTGACAGCTGTCTAGCCACACTTACCACCAGAAAAGACTGGTGGGGGAACCAGTTTAGTCAGCAATAACCCAACCATACAGCAGTTAGTACTGGGTTACATGGTAGCAGTAAAGTAACACCTATAGAGGGACCTAAAATGCTTGACACATATATATATATATATATATATATATATATATGTATGTATGTATGTGTGTGTGTGCGTGTGTATTTTGGCAGCATGTTTTCATTGAGACATGTTTCATTGAATAAGTTTTGTCTACTTATTCATGGACAAGCTTTTTGGTCTCATTATTAAAGGAAGAGAGAAAATTAGTGTTGGCACATTATTTTATTCTGAGTACTTTCAACATTAGGCACAATGTCATCATTAGAGTGTTGTTTATTTCAAGACAAATGTTTGAGAGTTCATCATTTTGAAAGATAAAATTGCTGTGTTCATCTGAAAGTTAAATTTTTTTTTACTTGTGAAATGAAGAACACTGAGTTGAGTACAGTGTGATTGGGTTGGGTAATGCTTCAGGGGAGGTAACTAAGTTATGGTGTTGTCAAGGGTTTTTTTAAGAAATAAATATTAAAACAGTACAAACCTCGATATTTTAAACTATCTACTGCAAACATTTTAAAATGTGCAGTATTCATAATTAATTTTATCATGGTTTGGTTTCAATTTTTAATATAGATAGCTTCAAGAATTTTTGTTTATTATTTTCATGAAAAAATATAGATGTCTTTTCAACAAGAATTTTTTTGAATTGCAAATGTGGACAGGCATGCCATTGTAAATTTTTAAAAATGTTGGATGCATCATCCAAATAAAAACTTAGCCACTGAGATAATGTGGTCTTAGTGTGGCTAACATAAATATTATTTTTCTGTTGGTGATGCAATCTCCTAGAGAACATTTAAAATTATATACAATGTTGGTTTTCTGCAATGTATTATTATTATGAATAAATTGTGAATTAGCTAGATTTTGTGTCGTATATAATTCATTTTTTTTTTTTTTTTACTAAGGTCTAGTAAAATTACACACTCTCAATAGCTGCAAACATGACATATACAAAAAAACATACAACTACTACTGATCAACTGGAAGAAATTACACATAGATTTTCAGAAATTATCAATAAATCAGAAATTCAACATTAATTGAAAATTTGTAAAAAAAAAAAAAAAATGAACACACTATACAAAGGATCTACCACTCTCCCTAACAAAATGGATAAATTTATTAATATTTCCAATATACAGTGTAACCCGGATATAAGAGAAACCCGGATATAAGAGAGATTTTCTCTGGTTCCAAATTAGAGCCATACTTACCTAAACAAAATAGACCAAACCCGGATATAAGAGAAACCCGGATATAAGAGACTTCTTCTCCGGTCCCGGGTTTCTCTTATATCCGGGTTACACTGTATACATTTTTATGTATCAAGAATAATTTTATGGGGAAAACTATGACAAAGTTGTAAAAAGATTTTGTGCGACATGTTTTCTCCTTTAGGACTTCATTGGACTAAAGTGATGTTTACATTGATATGACTACACTTTAAAATTCTTAGTATCCCTTCTCCTTCATGCGTATATGTAATCACATCAATGTAAACATCACTTTAGTCTGATGAAGTCCTAAAGGATAAAATGTGTCATACAAAGACTTTTTCCACCTTGTCATATACATATATATAGACACACACACACACACACATATATATATATATATATATATATATATATATATATATATATATATGACATTGGCTAGATTATATAACCATATAACACATCTATAAAACAAAAAGAATTTAAATTTTAAATTTTTGCATTCTAACATTTTCAGCATTTATTGTCTATACATAATTATAACCAACATTTACATTTTTATATCCCCCCTCCCCTTACTTCCCCCTCCAACAAAAACGCTACTTTAGTCCAATGAAGTCTGAAAGGATGAAACATGTCATACACAAAAATGGCCACGCGAGAGTGAATTCGAGAAGTATTAAGTATGGGAAGCAAATATCCTTAAAGGTCTATAATTGGAAACAGAAGCCATTGGTTTATACCAACGGCTTCCCATACTTAATACTTCTTGAATTCACTCTCGCGTGGTCATGTGTGACGTCATGAGATGCAGTGCGATTTTCGCTTCTAGCGTCTTATATGCACGTGTTTATCGTTGCTTGGAAATCATCCATGTAAACAGAAACAGACTATCATCACATTCTTGTCCGTGTATTGCTTAATATATTGTACTGTAATTGTCATCTTTGATAATGGCTTATGTAAGCCGAAAGCTTAGATTGGATTAAAAAAATATGTATCAATATTGTGATTTTCTTTCATCGTTTAATGATAATGTTATTAAGCTTATCAGACATTATCAAAAGAATTTACATAAAATAAATAGACAACACTTGTCTATATTATTTAATGAAACATGTATGAATATATATATATATATATATATATATATATATATATAATATCAATTGATGAATTGATCAGTAGTAGGGATAATTTCAAGGAGGACAATAATCCAAAGAGAACTCAATGTAAGAACAGAGCAATATAAAAACAAGTACAGAATCCTTAAAAATTCATTTGGTTTTCTATTCAGTTATACTTTATTTCATGAGTATACAAAAATATATCCATCTCTTCTATTTCCTTTTATTAATAAAATGGCGGTATGAAGAGATGGATATGTTTTTGTATATTCATGAAATAAATCATAACTGAATGGATTTTAAGATTCTGTACTCATTAATAAATAAATAAATATATATATATATATATATATATATATATATATATATATATATATATATACACACACACAATAATATCATACCCCTACTGCTATGAAAACAGCAGTCAGTTGTTTCTGAAGTAAATCTTCAATAATTACCCTGTCGTCCTTCACCATATTTTACCAAATTACACAAACTTAATTTTATTATTGGTTCTCTCCCCCAATAGTTTTTGTCACATATCTTTATTTTCATGTGAAAAATTTAGCTGTTTTTTAAACTTGTTTTTTCTTCCATTTCCTTTACTTCTTCCATTTCTAGGATCTACGAGATGGCTACAACTACGGACTTTACTACCCACCTCAGAATGGTAAAGCTGGTAAATTTCTTGATGAAGAACGATTGCTCAGAGAGTATCCACTCACTGGGCCCATTGGATACTTGGAAGTAAGACAATTGCATTATCAATGGCACCATTTATTAAATTCTATCTCTTGAAAATTAAACTCTATTTTCCACTGCTGTTATTTCATTAAGTTCTCATTCTTTACTTATATTCTTTCTTGTGTCTTTTCTCTCAAAACAATTTTAACATTTATAAATCTTAAATTATTTTTTTAAATTAAATTGTATTAAAACACATGAAATTTAACCAGTGTTCACATTCAGAGGACAAAAGTTGACAAATGTTTCATACTCGAGCAACACAGGAATTTCCAGGTTTTATGAAAAGAGACATCAATCTCTGATTGCTTTTGGGTAAAATAGATATTGTTGGTAAAATAGGTGAATTTATTTTGCGAATCCTAAATGAAGAAAACTGTGTCTAGATCCAGAACAATCCACAACATCCCACCCTAAGAGGAACTTCTATATATTTGGGGAAACTCAAAAATGCATTTTTCATTACAAATTGAAAACATTTTTACTAAATTTGATCAGATTTGACATTTAATTAAGAGATACTTCTTAACAATCACTTAATATAAAAACACAAGAGATCACTATTTCTTCAAATAATCTTGAAACACAAGAATTGAAAGGTTTTGAAAAAAAATGTATTTTGTTGATGAGTCCAAAGGAAGAATAAGCCAGCATCAAAATTGGAAATTCCCTTTTCAGTTATTAAAAAGAAACACAAATTCTTTAATAAAGGGAAGGAAGCCACTGCATTCCATTCGTGTTGACACGGGTCATCAAGAAGGTGTCTTTATGCAACAAGACAAAATAATTTGTCTCTTAAGTCTACAGATGTGGCAAAAAGGGTCTTGATCAACACAAGAACAACAGTTTAATATAACATGGGTTATTATGGCAGAGCAGCTAGAAGAAAACCGTTTTTTAAACTCATCAGCATTCAGTAGAAAAAGCAGGGATACTGTTCCACAAAGAGGCAATTTTGGGGAAAAAGCTGGCAAAGTGTACCTTCTTTCTTACATTTGAAACACTGAGAAAATAAGAGTGATTCAACTCCAGAGAAGTAGTGTGCACAAAAATTATTTTGTTAGGTATTAATTTACTTTTGAATAATTCATATCCATAATTTACTATCCATTAGTTTAAAATCTACTCGATTATAATAAACATTTACAATTTAATTAAGAATTATCCGCACTATCTTCCCTATTTCAATGTTGCAATAAGACAAATGCTGATTAAAAACCAACTTAAAAAAAAAAAAACGGAAGTAAGGGGAATAACTCTGATAGACTAACAAACACCATATTATACATAGTTATTTCCCTCAGATTAAGAAACTCGAATCTGACCAGCAACAAGATTGGTGACCACTT